GAGATAGTATAAATGGCTGACAGGAAAAAGATATTTAACTTTAGTAATCAAGAAAATGCCTTATAAAGCAGCAATAAAATACCATTTAACTAACCCAGTTAACAGAGATTCAGTACAACTCAACACTAAATAAATAATTACAAGTGTTAAAAAAATTGAAATTATAAATTATTATTATTCCTCACTCTGTGAAAGGCTGAAAATAAGACAAGGTTTTAGTCACAGAGATAGTCATAGTGGTGGTGTTTTAATAGGAAAAAAATTAGAAACAATCTAAATATGACTATTATTAGTAGAATGTTCTGAGGCCATGAAAAATTAGATTTATAAAAATGTTATGGGAGGAAAATATGTTATAGGAAATTGAATATATAGCATAGAAAGACTAGAAGGAAATATATTTGAAGTTATTAACATTCAGTTTCCCCAAGGTGGAACAATTATAGATGGGTAGATATTTTTCCCACTTCTTCATACATTTATAAACTTCAAATATTTAGGAACATTTGCATTATTTTATAATAGGAGAGAAAAAAACTGCATTAAAATTTTTACATGTATAACATGACTCCAAAAGTGTTTAAACTTAATAGGATTGTTTTGTGACACATTTTAAAAGAGTGAGCCTATTGGGGTCATTGTTTGTCAGAATGTGACTGGTAATTGGGCTCTATGTCTCTTAATTCTTTCATTCCCACTTATTGTTCACGTCAAACAGGAAAGAAAGTGACAAGTTTTCCAAAAGGAAATGTTCATTTGGTTGCTAGCATTTCTTGGGAATGATAAGTACCATTCTTTAGGGTCGGTTACTCTAGTGCAGAGCAAGAGGGCTAGGGTTAAGAGGCTTTGTTTGCTTGTTTCATTGTTGTTTTTGTCTCAGTTGTGGAGAACTTAAGATGTGCCAGGCACTGTGCTAAGCATTCTACATGCATTATTTAATCCTCACAGCAACCCCAAGATGAAGCTGAGGCTCAGAGAAAAGAAGCATCTTGCCCAGTGTCAGCTAGGAAATAGGAGAACTGGGTCTGGAACCCAGGCCTGCCTGGCTCAAAGCATTACCCTCTCCTCCCTACTCCAGCTTTTTGAACATAGGGCTCCCATCCTTACTTGGCAGAAATACCTCTTTACAGAGCAGAACCTTCTTCTGATGTGTTTTGGGTAAAATTTATTCTTGAAGTGTTTGATCATTATTAGCCCACCACATTTGGGTGGTTACTCTGCCAGCCTTAGAGCTAACTGCCTCACAAAATGAAAAATGTGGATTAATGAAGTCCTATGCTATGGAATCTGATAGACTCTGAATCAGGTAAATACCTGGGAATTATAGACTGCCATTCTGATTCTTTGTAATTTAGAAGAACTTCTCTGGAAATTAAATTACCAGAATTTTTTCAGTGTCATAAATACTATATATAAATATCATATGCTTTTACCTAATTTTTAAGATATAATTGTCATAGATCATAATTAGAAAAATGTTTTTGCTTGCGTATTGTATATCTCTTAAAAGCAGAAGAACCTCAAATTCTATCAGAATTATATTTTAAGAAAAAAGTTATTGGAAATTTTTATTTCTGAAACTTGATAGTAACATAAAGTATTGAGTGATTTAAAGAAGCCTTCAGGCTTTGAACCCTTAGCTTCCCCCCACACCCCCATTTTTCAACCTATGTAGAAATCAGTTTCAAATAATCTCTCACATTTCTTATCGAATTTCTGATTTGTAACAGGATAACAGCATTTCTGGAGAATGGTGTGAAGCTCTTCACAGTTTTACAGCAGAGACCAGTGATGACTTGTCCTTCAAGAAGGGAGACCAGATCCTGATCCTCGAGCGTCTGGACTCCAACTGGTGCAAGGGCAGACTGCGTGACAGGGAGGGGATCTTCCCCGCGGTCTTTGTGCGGCCCTACCCAGGTGTGACAACTACTCTCTAAGGGCGAGTGCGAGATCTTTAAAATGATATATATTCCTTTTCCCTCTGAACATGCTCAGTTTAAGTTGTTTGCCCATATTCGAAAGAGTGATTCATAAAGTTTTGTAAACTCTCTGTTTCATATACTTTGGTGGAGTTATGGGTGGCAAAACCATAAAAATGCCTTCACTTGATAATGTCCAATTTTCTACTAAATATATTTTCTATAATTTTTTTTTCCTGCTAAGAGAACATCTTTTATCTTTTTGCAAGTTAAATAAATTCAAAATTAATTGAAAATATTCTGCCTTGGGAATGACAAAGGCATTTCTTAAAGTGTGCAATTTGTATTTTAATCCACTGTCTTTCCATATATTTGAATTTCTGTGTCTTCACAGCTGAGAAGAAAAGTATGTCTGCTTTAGCACTGAAGGGGAGGAAGGCCAAAGCCTTATATGATTTCCACGGAGAGAATGAAGATGAGCTTTCCTTCAAGGTCAGAATGTGTACCTTTTTGTAACTGTATTAAGCAGCTATAAATTTTGAAATGCCTTTCATTGAAGGGTGGGACATTTGGCTACAGTATTGATCATTAGCTAAGAATGAACAGATCGCACACCTTAATTCTAAAGGACAAGATTAGAGAGTGTGTCAAGAATAGGGCAAATGTAAATTATCAGCAAGGCATTTAGGTGCTTAAAGAAAACCTTATTGGCCTGATAGGCCTATAGTCCCCAGGCAAATTCCTTATTCCTAGACTTCATAACATCAGATCTCAGTAATATTGGACTTTTCCTTGGTGGCCCTAGTAAAGGATGATTCCCTGCATGCCCCTTGCTGCCTGCTCTTGTCATGTCTTTGAGATCAGTGGCGAAATCAGTTGGTACCTACAACTGGCTACCACAGCACTGCCTCATAAAGCACTGGAGTCTTGTTCACAAAGATACTGACTAGACTGTGGGGGAAAAAATGCAGAAAGTTAAGCTACTTTGCAAAGGGGTTTTTAGCACCTAAAATTTAATTTTAATCTTACTTCATCAAAGAAGTGCCTCTCATTTTTTTTTTTTTTTTTTTTAAGTAAAACCAGAATATTTCCATGATCCTATTTCCCCAGTCCATAGCTATACCATGGTCAAAGGAAAGTGCCCAGGGTAGTACTTTGAGACTGTGCCAGAGGAAGAAGAGTGGCCTTAGCAGTCATTGCTCTCAGAAAAGCCTGTGTCAGGTAGTGGTAAATTCTCCATCACTTGGAGATAATCAGTCAGAGGCAGCAATGCCATAGGCAGGATGAAAGCATCAAGGAGTGATTGGACAAAATGAGACTTAAAACAGTGTGTACCCAAATAAGATTGTCACCTGTCTACAACAAAGTGGGAAAACAAGGTGATATTCTGTATATGCAGGCTTTTGGGGAGTCACAGAGTAAGGGAGGCATGCTGAGATATGTCAGTTATAAGTTTGCTGATTTACCTATTTTTTTTTAAGAACTAACTTAGCTATTTTGTGATGGGCTTTTCCTTTCTTTTAAGAATTTCTTTTATCTTTTCCATATTAAAATGTCATTTCCATTATAAAATATTAGCGAACACAATGCAATATGCAGATGATGTTTTATGAAATTGCACACTTGAAACATGATATTATTAACCAATGTCACCCCAATAAATATAATAAAATTAAAAATAAAAAAAAATAAAATGTTATTAGTAAATGGTAGGTATTTCTTATGGGAGATTATAATTTGGTAACTCTATATCAGTTTCTTTTCTTTTTCTTTTAATTTCTTAGTTCTTAAAATCCAAATGTTTGGAAACTGTTGCCCTAGTCCTTTTTAGTCTTTTGAGAGTCAGTGGCTTGAAATTCATTCCTTTTATCTTTACATAGAATGTTACTTCAAGTTGACAATCTGGATTCAAACTTTTTGGATTTTATTTTGGTCTTTATATAAGTTATGTCAATATAAATAACAGAATTCACAGGATCCTCCAGAAAATAAGTTGTCTTCATTTTACAAATGACTGACTGTAAGCAAGATAGTTCTAGAGTATTTTTAGTTAAGGGATTCTGCACTGCTTTCAGTATTATTGATCATTAATATTATATTAGATATCTGCAGAATATTAATAGATAAAACTTTTTAAAAAATTGTCCTAGTCCTCAAAAAACAACAAGTGTTGGCAAGGATGTGGAGAAAAGGGAACCCTCATACATTGTTGGTAGGATTGCAAACTGGTATAGCTGCTATGGAAAACAGTATGGAGGGTTCTCAAAAAATTAAAAATGGATATACTTTTTGACTCAGCAATTGTACTTCTGGGTATTTATCCAAAGAAAACCAAAACAATAATTCGTAAGGATCTATGCACCCCAGTATTCATGGCAGCACAATTTACAATAGCCAAGATATAGAAGCAACCTAAATGCCCATTAACAGATAATTGGATAAAGAAATTATGGTTCATATATACAATAGAATATTACCCAGCCATTAAAAAAATGAAATCCTACCATTTGCAACGACATGGATAGACCTAGAGGTTATTATGCTGAGTGAAATTAGTCAGACAAAGATAAATACCATATGATTTCACTTATATGCAGAATCTAAGGAACAAAAAGAACAAACTAATCAAAAACAGACTCACAAATATAGTGGACAATTTGGTGACGGACAGAGGGGAGGGGAGTTGGGGGACTGGGAGAATAGGGTGAAGGGTTAAAGAACTACAAATTAGCAGTTGATAGTTGGTCACGGGGATGGGGAGCACGGCAGAGAGAATGCAGTTAGCATTAATATGATAGCTAGGTGGAGGGCCAGAGGAGGGAGGGAGCCATTAGGGGGATTATTTTATGAACTATATAGATGTCTAACCAATGTACTGTATACTCAAAAGTAATTTAAATAAATAAATTTTTTAAAAAAATTGCCCTAACACACTATGTACTTAAGAGCTAAGAAAAAAAATTTTAGTGAACCATAATGTTATAATTTAGAAAGGAGCTTACTTATAATAGGAACTTTGAAGAGCCAGAAATTTTACAGATTTTAGCAGAATAAAGTAAATTAATGGCATTTGATAGCGTTTTTCCTTTCCATTTTCCGTAAAGGCCTTAAATCAAACCATTTTTTCCAGAGGGCTATGTATGAGGGCTACAAATAAATCCATTTAGTTTGATAAAGATATTCTTAAAAGTAGCCAGGGTCATTTTGGACCATTACAGACTCTTAAACCCAGATTCTAAGAAATGGTTAGAAACAGTAAAGAACAAAATAGCTTCAGGAGATAATTTCAAAAATTATGTCATCTGTTGAAAAATTATAATTTATACATGAATAAGATACATCGTCCCTTTGATGAACCAGAAGAGGAAAAATCTGTATTCTGAGTCAGAGTGAAGTTCTTTAAGACAGGAAAGAATGCAGATTTGATATTGAGGCCAGGAAGGAATAGAATAAACCAAATGGTAGAGGAGAATACCATTATGTGGAAGAATAAATGAGGAGTTCAGAATGCTCAGAATGTTGAGAAAAGATAATTATAGTAAAAACCTTTCTAATTATAGAGATCCAGTGTAAATGTGGGGGCCACGTAGCCTAACGGCTAGAAATACAGACCCTGAAATCACACTAGATTGGAATCTTGTCCCTACCACTAACTGGACGTGCAACACTGAGCAAGTTACTTAATCTCTCTGAGCTTCAGTTTCCTTTTCTGTAAAGAAATCCATACAAATATCTCTCTAAAATGGGTATAATACTAGTACCAACCTCTAGGACCGCTGTATTGTTTAAATGAGTTAATTCCTATAAAATACATAGGATAGGACAAAGCATACAGTAAGCACATGGCTTACTCATCTCCAAGTCTTTGCTTAAATGTCACCTTCAGTGGGGCCTTTCTTGACTGTTCTAATGAGATGGAACCCCACACTTTGTCTTCCTCTGCCAGCATATTTATTTGTCTCCCCACCACTCTAGAATGAGGTCTTTATATATTGCTGGATCCATAATGACCAGAACAACAGTGTCAGACACATACATAGTGGGTATTCAGTAAATAATTGTTAGATTGGGAGGATACACACACACACACACACACATACACACATCTACAGAAATGTATATATGATAACTGGTATTGTTATTAAAGAATTTTAGAGTAAGAGTGGTGAATTTGGGGGGCACAAAATACAAGCAGGAAATTAAAAGTGCAACAATGGTGATATTGGCAGAGGAATGGGTTTTGAGGAGAAGAGGTGTACAAGCAAATGGCACATCATTATTAGGTATAGATCATCTCTGTGGTATATCATTTAATCCTCTCGGTAAATCATGATAAATAAGTAAAGAGAAGATTATACATGCCTCTCCAGATGGGCTGCCTGTCGTGCTTATACTCAACAGAAACTAATAATTATTTCCAATTCCTGTCTTCTTACAGGCCGGAGATATAATAACAGAGCTGGCATCTGTAGATGATGACTGGATGAGTGGAGAACTAATGGGAAAATCTGGAATCTTTCCCAAAAACTATGTTCAGGTTTTACAAGTCAGCTAAAGGTGAAGCTTGACTGTGCTTCTTGGCACAAAAACTCACTTGAACTATCACTTTGACTATCAGATATATTTTGCACTATTTTTTTAAACTGAAAGAAATATCTATGCTGTATATGGTACACTAGAATTTTCTGAAAGCAGAAAGTATCTAGATTTTGTTGTTAGTATTCATTCACAGTAGAAACATGCACATGGAAACCCATGAACACGTATTCTACCAAGGAAAACATCAAGCATGATTAGCAAGGCAGATAAACACTTCCCCCAGGGGAAAGCATCCGATGAGGAAACAGCGTGGGGAGGCTTACAAGCAAAAGTTGCACTTGGACATCTGTTTTTTAAACCGTGCTTCTTTATTTTTTACTTTATTTTAAAAAGAGGACTTTGATAGTCTGCATGCTATAACTATCAGGACATGGTTGGTAATCTAAATTTCGTTTTTGATATTCAAATTAATTCAAACAGCTGGAGCACAGTATCCTTATTACCAAGGCAAGTCCTTGCTTCTGGAGAGGGTAGTTTATTGACTACTTAGAGCTATTGTAAGAACGTGGTGAATCAGTTCATACTCACCAAATGTTCCTTGTGTTAATGTTTCCCCTCTGCCCAAGGATTTGAAGGGGGTTAAAAATTTGATGCAACATAGTCAAAAGAACCAAAACCATCCTGAGATGACTTGCTAATATGACTAACCTTTCCATATTACTTGCTGTACTTCTTTCTTTCCTTTATACTTTGTTAACAGGGTTATTATAAAGCACATTTTTCTGAATCTGCAATCATTCTTTTGACAATTACTGGTATCCAAAGAAAAATTCATATTTTCTTTGTGTTACCCCAGTAATATATAAAAGCTGTGTCTTATTATAGTGGTACATTATGACTCGCATATATCAGAATACAGAGCAACTGTTAAGATGGAAAACAATGTCAAACCCCCACAGCTTATTTCTTTCCAATATAATCAGAATGAAAAATAATTTTAAAAGACTGAAGGCTGATACTTGTTTTTTTTTCTCCAGCTCCTCAAAAACAAACACACAAAAAAACACTTTCCTGCTCTATCCATTGCTATGCGTGCCAGGCTTAAGATAAAAGTGGTTCCCTACAGGACTAAGTCAATTACAGTTTATGTGCTTAAGCCAAATAGGTCGAAGACAATCTTCTAAATAGACCGATGGAATAGAATTTCATTGGAAATGTAAAACGCTTTCCCAACAATGTTCATGACTTTCTTCTATTTTTGAGAAGAGTTTCATGTACTGGGACACTTAATAGCTTTTATTGTTGTTTCCCATTGTCCAAAAAGTTAGGCAACCAGTAGTCAAACCATTATGTGAACACCAACTACATGGGGTTCTATAAAAGAGGAAATATTTACTTTGTCTTTGATTAAAGGTCATCTCGTAGTTATATAGTTATAATTGACATGGGGGCTATTTTTTTGTTTGTTTTTTTGGTTTGTTTTTTTTTTTTACATGTTTTGGGTAAAGAAGACAATATAAAGAAAATTCTCTGTCAAATTTTATTCAGTAGTAATTTTATGAGAAATGGGTGACTTAAAGCACTCTCCCAACTAAATTCCCATTTGCAGCAAGCTGTACAGCAACAGGAAGAAGGATGGAATAGAACATGTGGTATAGAACATGTGTGTCTGGAATAGAACATGAGGTATATTATATATGTATAATTTTAACATCTTATATCAAAGATCATGAAATCTTAGCTTTATTGGAGAATATCCCTCTTAAATTTTGGTCTTCTGTCAGCAGAGTAAGTGCAATAGTTGTAAATCTACTTGACACTATAATAAACTGAACTGAACTTTTCAGTCTTTTTCTCATACTAGATAGAGATTTTCGAGAATGCAGGTGGTATCTTATCTTTATATCTCTAGCCCTTTACACCATATAGGCCCAATAAAGATTGGTTAGTTATATGGATGGGTAGATGGATAACTTATATATATAGCCATATCACCTTGGATCCACTGATATCTGATATTTCCTCCTTAATTGGTTGATAAAAAAATCTTTGAAACAAAATTTGCAGTTTTTATGTCATTTTCATCATGTCATTTATTGTCCACTCAAATGACAAGAAGCTAAATGTAGCTTGGTATCAGTTTTTGTTGGTACTTTATTGTTCTATATATTGACTGAACATAAATTTAGTGAATTTCATAGGGGAGAAATGGGAGTTTTAGGTGAAAACCTGATATTGTTCATCCAAGCCTCCTCAAAATGGAATCTCCAAATCCTATTTCTTTGGTGGATTAAAACTAGAGAAGTCATTTAATATGTTATTCTTACCCTTTTGATTACCCTTTTGAACACTAAATGACAGCAGATTTAGTTAAAAGGTGCCCTTGTTACATGGCTATGCCCTTGTTTACGTGGCTGGAGGGGTAATGTAGTATATCTTTCATTGTGGAAATCACAGGTTTTGAATACATTCTGAACCATTTCAAATGAAAAATTCAGTGCATTTAAATTTAGTTAGAACTGGCATTTGAAAAAAAAGCAAAATATCCTTTTTCTGTAGAGTTCGTCGTACATTACTCTTAACAATAATTGTGTGGTTTTAGTTTCTCAGACTTAGATAATATACCTAGAGAAATATTGATGGATATATGGGCAATAATATTCTAAGGGGATATTTGGTATAATCATAAATGGTTTATTCTTTTTAATGCTAAATGCACATGGGCCATATGATTCATAATTCAATGCCATTGAATGAACTCTTAACAGTGGATTTTTTCTGAACTAATAGGAAATCATTTTCTAATATGCCTTTTTACTTCACTGTAATTATAGAGGGAAAAAAATACAAAGCTTATCTCAGAACAACAGCACCATCTAGGGGCCTCTCACCTAATGGCAAATTCATCTTGTTAAACCACAGAAGAGTCTGCAGACCAGAGCTTGACCTGCATAGGTTAAATGATTTGCCTAAGGCCATACAGGTATGGCAGAGCCTAAAGCAAAACCTGGATCTACTTATCCCCAGTTCTGTACTTTTTTTATTTGTTGTGCTAAAGCGATACATTCCTCTTTAGCAGTTAAACAAGTAGAATTGATCTGTTTTATTGGCCTATAAAACTTGTAACTTCTCAGATATAATACTTAGGATTAGAAACAAGTTGCAGAGAATAAATTAAAGCCTGGAATTTATTTATTCCATGAAGATAATTCCCGCTCAACTTTTCAGTTTTATGTAGACAATTTATAGTGATGTTACCTAGAAACTCAAACATGAACTGATCTGTAGAGATTTATTTTTGTTTAATAGAGAACATTTGAATGCTTAGAACATAAGATCTTTAAAAAGTATGTCTGTAGGGCTGTGCTCTTGCTAACAACAGAGCAATCCTAAATGTAGCTTTTCATATACATGTAGCACAAAATACTGTTTAATATTTTGGAGTCTAGTCTGTGGCCATGCTACCCTGAACATGCCCGATCCCGCCTGATCTCGGAAGCTAAGCAGGGTCGGGCCTGGTTAGTACTTGGATGGGAGACCACCTAAGAAGACCAGGTACTGTAGGCATAAAGAAATTTTAAAAATAAGGGATTGTAAGCTTACAAGGTCCTTGCAATCTGTGAAGTCAACCAAGGGACTGTTAAGCTAATTTATATTTCAGAGTCTGGGACACATTCTGGATTTTTTTTAATAAAAAGAATCTTAATCGTATGTATACCATAGATTATGTATCTTCAAATACTACAAATGAGGCAATAACTCAATGAAGTATTTCCCTATTTCTCAGGAGAAGTAATGATTCAAATTTGTAATTCAGAAAGGAAAATTATCTGCCGGCTGTCTGTCCTGTTTTAACAGATATTGACAATCTTAATACCAAAATATTGGCCCATATTTAGTTGTTCTTTACGATAAAAGGAACAATTACATTTATTTCTCCATAGCCAAGGTTTTTTTTATTGGATGGAGCCCTGACCCAAAGGATCACTGAGGCCCACCACAGTGTTCCCATGCCCCTAGAATTGTTATTTCCAAAGAGCTTTTGAACATGTGGCTAACACTTGAGTGCAGTACTGTACCTAAGATTACACTGGGGAGACAGTGGTGTCTTCTCTTTAGACATGTGAAATGTCAACGTTATTAAAAAATAAATATGTAGAGTTGAAAAACTATCCAATTCATCTTAGATACAGAGCACTCTAAGCAAAGGTGAATGTGAGGGAGCAGGCAGAGGCCTGTATCTTTGCTGGTCAGAGGGGCTGGTTTGGCTATGAGAAGGCCTAGTTGTCCACTGCAATGAAGAAGTTAGGGCAAAGTCAGAGAGCAAAAGGTAATGGGGCACTAAGACACTGCATATATAAAACTAATTACCAAGTGAGACGATTGCCCCTATGCATGTAGATGTGTTGGGCTATT